AGAAACAGAGTGGAACTATGTGCAGCGGCAGTAGCAGCAGCAGCAGCCGCAGCAGCACTCAAGTGAAATGTCGCCGCAATGGCGTCGCCTCAGCGCCATCACTCAGTCTGGGCCTTTGGCTATTGCCGGTGTTGTTGGTGTTGCTGGCGTGGCAGCAGCAGCCATGTGAGGGACGTTATCTGCCGACAAGGTCACATGGCGACGATTTGGATAAATTGCGAGAGTTAATGTTGCAGGTGAGTGCAAAGTGAAAATATAAAGTAAAAAATAAGAAAAAAAAACAGCAAAAAAAATGAGAAATTACAAAAATATGTTCGTCCAAGCTGAGCCAGAAGGGCAGCGGATGGGTGTGGGAAAGTCACATGCAAAAATAAATGACACAAAATAAATAAAAATTGTATGGGTATGCTGCGGTTGCAATTCAGCAACACAGCAATTTATAATCGCCCCCTTCCGGCGGGCCCTCTCCCGTCAACAGCCCAAATGTTTTTACACGTACACTTTTGCACTTTTTCTTGTCATCACCTTCTGAATGTAAACGTCCACCTGTATTCAAATGTACACGCATGCATGCATGTATGTATGTGTGAATAATTTCTGTTTATTTTTTTAAATCTGGGAATGCCACCTGTATTGGTTAAAATACTGCAACTACCAAAATTGGTGATATGAGCGGGAATGCTCAACAGCAGTGGATAAATACATATGTATGTATGTATGTATGTATGTATAATTTTTCCCGCCCGTATCGAATTGCATTGAATTGCACATGAGCGGGGCGTAATTGATGCAATAAAGTAGCAGCAGCCAAACTTGCTACCAGAAATGTACGCGAGTATGTAAACAATTTTTCAAATAAAAAATACGTATATGTAATATTAATCAGTCGAAACGAAATAAATGACAATTCCAATCGAGTGTGACGTGCGCATGCGCGAGCCACTCAAAATTCAATTATGCGCACATACGCGCACCGGGCGGTGACAGTGTATTACAGCAAAAAAAAAAAAAAATGCGGATAGTTCGGGAAGACTGCAGCATCGCGCACAAAGAAATATGTAACAGATACTACTTTTGATTTCTTTAACGTGGAATGAGCTGTTCTTCTTTGTTCGGGCATGTCAAGTATACCCAAGCCGAGATTAGTCGCGAATTAATAATGCCCAAGTGGTCCTAACGGAGACTATTTTGGGATTTTCTTTAGAGTTGTGGTTTGTATGTATGTAGGTTTAGTCAAAGAACTTAAGATAATTTCCACCATAGACCAGTTTATGTCCCTGAAAGCACTCTTTTTAAAATTTCCTTGAAGTTTCGTATTTGGAGCGTTATAGAAATGTTTAACAAAAATTCATATGAATGTGCTTTCGCCCTTCAGTAAAGTTTCGAACAGGTTTAATGAGGATTATTTACTCAAAGGCAACTATGAATTGGTATGAAACCGAGTGTTCGTTTTCGATAGTCAGCTGCTTTAGTTCACGAAATCGTCCGAACCGCCCAATCGAAATTATTAATAAAAAAATAATGATTTTATTTAAATCAGAAAAGAAAATTTTAATATGTAAATCATGGACCGAACATAACAGTTATCGATGAAAACTGTCATTGGAAAATTCACTATGTAGGAATTGTTCTGCAACTAAGTGATACATACAAACCGATTTCTTTTTTCACCGAGAATCAAATTTGAAAATATTTTTTTTTGTAACTTTTATGCAAAACTAAAAAAAACAAAGCCGAAACCAGCCAGGACTTTGTTAATATTTTCTGAAAGTATACCCATGCAGTAGTAAAACATTCGATGTATTTGAAAAAAAATACCTGGTATTTTTATTTTTTGTCCTACTAAAGTTTTCATGCCTCGACCCAAGTAGTTTTCGAAAAAGTTTAAAAAATTGTTAAAATAAATGTCTGAGCGAAATTAGAGATTAACCATATAGGTAAAATTTCATGGGAAATATTTTCGTAGAACATTTTAACCCATTAGCTCCCACCTGAAATTGTCGTTTTTACCCTTATTTCAAGAAACTCCGTAAAAACAAATTTCGAAGTTCGTTAGAGGATTGATATATTCTAGAAAATTATTCTACGGAAAATTTTACTAGGGTCCTTCCCACGCAAAAACCTCATGTCATCTACGTAAAAGTCTTTATAAAATTAAAACAAGAAATTTATGCCAAGAAGGAATAACAACCAAACTCAATTTAAAAAAAATGTTTGGTAAAAAAACCAAGTTTTTTTCCTGTTTTTTTAATGTTAATTTTTAGAGACTTTTACGTCGGTGGCATGATTTTTCCGAAGAATAATTTTCTAGAATATATCAATCCTCTAACGAACTTCCAAATTTTCTTTCTGCGGGATTTCTTGAAGTATGGGTCTAAACGATCCTTTCAGGCGGGAGCTAATGGGTTAATATTTTCTACGCATAATATTTCCCATGAAATTTTATTATATAAATGCCTTAACTTTTAATTTCGCTCAGAATTGTTTTTATAATTTTTTCCACTCTTTTGAAAACTACTTAGGCCGGGACATGAACATTTTAGTAGGCCATAAATTAAAGATACGAACTAACTTTTGCAAATCCTTTGAGTGTTTTATTACTGTATATCTATACTTTCAGAAAATATTAGCCGGTTTGAATTGACATAAAATTGTCGCACAGTGTTTTTTTTAAAAATAAAAATAAAAAAACAATTGTTATTTTAGATTTGTAAAATAAAAATCAGAAATAACTGTTATTTTAGGAGTAATTAGATAAAAGTCAGAAAATAATTGTTACATAGCTATTTTTATAATAAAATATGTACCATTGTGCCACGTAAAGTGTCCCCAGGCAACAGTCCCTCAAGTTGTCTGCAGAGCCATCTGCACAATGAAAGCGAATACACACATACCTAGCAAGGTCCTCTAAAATTGAGCACAACATGAGCTTTGCCCACCTGCAGCCCCACGAAGTCTCCCTGGAATACCTGGTCCGGGTCCTCTCTGGCCAAATGGTGAGATGCCTCCATACCAGGTATGGATTCCAGTACTTACTGATGTACTACCCTACGAATTTCGACCAGAAGTTGAGCCAGTTGTGATTTATAATTTTTTATTCCATAAAAAATAATTTCAAAGTAAAAGGTACTTCGAGAGTTTGCAAAATTTTCCTATTACCCCGCCCGAGTCAAGCAATACTTTGTAAAAGTGTCCCTCAATTATGGCTTTTTGTTTTATTATTCTAAAACTAATTAGACGCACTTATTGCTCAGAATTTAAACACTGTATGCTGCGATACTTTCCTATTCATCACAAAAATTCCCCCCCTAAAATGGCCAACTGCACATGACCGGAGTAGAGTTTTTGTGATGGACCAAGATGCTGATGACGAGTCATGCAAAAATCGTAAAAGTCATAAAAGTTGAGCTTACATCACAGCGGTAACCGCTATCACAAAAAAAAAGGCACAACAACAACAACAACGGCAACGTTTAAGTGAGACAACCGTAAAATTGCAACAATGAAGCAATGCATACAAACATACATACATATATGTACATAACTACCACTGGAAGCACGAAAATTAAGTGCAACTGCGCTGGTAGCAACAAAAACTACGGAATGCCACTTATTTTGGTAGTCACATAAATGCTGGATAAAATTTCAAAAAATGCGTGCAAAATTTTGCTAATTGGCCGCTGTGTGCCGTGCGGAGGGGATTGGCATCAACTCAAGTTGTGCATCAACTCAACTCAAGCGCAGTGTTGCCACTTACTCGGACGCATGTTGCCGGCTCGGCTGCTGCCGATATTTTTGGTGCTTTTGTTGTTCTACAGCGCTTAAATTGCAGCAAAACCCAACACCGACGGCACGGCGAGCAGGTGGGCCTTCCGCTAAATCTTTTACTCTTCCTCAACTGCTTTTGCTGCTGCTCTGCTTCTTCCGCGCTGCACGACTTTATCAATGGTGTCCGCGCGCCACTCGCTCTTTATGACAGGTGGCAGGTGTGCGGCGCGAGTTGCATGCCGAATTTCCTGTTCTATTTCGTAATCGTATTTGTGTGCGGAAAAATGTGATTTCCGAAGCAAAAAAAAAAAAAATAAAAAATCATAAAATAATAATAAAATATCGTAGCAAGCATTAGAAGCGTTTAAAAATCGAGTTGTTGCATTAAACTGCTATGGTTAAGCCGCGCTAGCATTCAATCGGCTATTGCGCATGCGTACGATGCATCAAAAGTGAACAGCGCGGTCGTTTCGCCTTTTTCGGCGCATTCTAAGCCGGCGTATGCTCATAATAAACTCCACTTGAATGGGTGTTGTAATACCCCTCGATTGTCGTCGGTTGCTGCAATATATTTTGTATCGAAGTGGAATGGCTAATAATTATTTGAAGCGTCCAAAAGCGATTATGCACTCACTAATAAAGTTATTGGCATTCGACTGGTTTTTGTTGGTGTCGAAGTGGATCTCCAGTTGATTGTTTGCGATTGGCAAGCGTATGAATGGGTGCAAGTCAGACCTAGTTGGTCAATAAGATTCGGACAATCATAATTGAGCAATGTTTTGGGCAATTCGGCTCAGCTGTTAAGCAATTAGTATGGATATTAGTAAAGCGGTTGCAACGCAGATGACAGCAATATTATTTCATTTATAAATAAATTATCGGATCCGGCAACTGAAATTATTTTTAGCAGCAGTTTAATTGGAAGTGCGGGCTGGATTTGCCAAAAAAGCTGGTTAGTTTTAGGATATGTGGAATAGGGCTGGAGAAATCTTCTCCTAGCATCCTTAGTCATGTGGAGAGTACTCCGAAACCACGAATAAAAAAGTAGAAATAGTAGGATACCATCTAAAACCTGCAGAACCGAAAAAACGGGGTCATTTTGGCGTCATTCTTTCCCTTAGAACCCAATTCGGAGTTCCATACGCCTTCTCTACTTACATGCGGTGTTAAGATGCTACATGGAGCTGGGGAGAACGAACTAGCAAGGTGCGGCTCTGCAATGAATTTGTCCCTCGGGATGGAAATGGGTGCCTGGCTCAGGAAGATCAATAGGAGAATTGCCGAAATGTATCATTCGAAGGCTAGACATAGTTTGACCCGTACAGGATCGTATAGGATTATGCGGCTGTTCTGGGTGTCCTACGACCTACTTATGTATGTAAATTGAGGGATCTCTTAGGAATGAGCAAATACCAACAAACATGCCGAAAGGATTGGCTTACCCATCAATAGGTTCTGTCGCAGCTGC